CATTATTACCGTATACATCCAAATCAATGAAATCTGGTCAAAAGTTAGTATTCATGTGAGCTAATTTTCGTGTTTGGCCATAGTCTACATACATGTACATGTACAATAGAATTGCATTATAGGTGGTTTAAATTTCGTGGATTTAAGGTGAGCATGAAAATAATGGAATTTAATACACCTTGAAAATTAAAACGTGTACAGTAATATTAACAAAAAAAGAATGCTAACAACAATGACAAATGAAGAGACACAAAGTACATGTAATTAATTAAAGAAATAGGATTGGTTTCAAACTCATCCTCTGTTTGGGTTATGATTCAAACCACTCATGTCAGTTTTTAGATTGCATTTTGAAGACCTTTCCGTTCAGAGACTGAGAGAATTTGTTGAATTTAGGATTTAAAATATTTGAGTTTTGAAAGTGCACTTTGTATTAGCCCCAGCTTGAAAATTTGGCTCAGAAATCATCCCTAGTTTTATTACATTATCTAGTAGAGCAATGAAAAGGCCCATGTACATGTACATGTACAGTAATAATTATGTCATATTTTTAGGTTCGTGTTAAAACTATTACTAACCAGAATTGGGAGCCTAAACGTTTCCGTGGTAACATTGTCGCTAGCAACAGCCAGTACTTGGCCTATGTCCTAGCCAGTAGAAGTGGTTATGTTATTAGACTCATTCACCTTCAGACGAATGACAGAGCATTGTTGAAGAAGTTCAATGGAGAGATATTGGACATATCATTTGCACATAATCATTCAAATTTATTAGGAGTGATCGATGAGGCTGGTAATTTGTACGTGTATGATATTGACAAAACAAATGGAGATATTAATAAAATAAAGTAATTACATGTGTATAATAATATTGGTAATAATAAATATAATAATGTGTATTATATTTTAGAAGTACATGTATATGTACATTTTTTACATTAACATCTTTTACATTATTGTATTCATGTGCATTGTGAACAAGGAACATGCATGTTCTTAGTACATGTTGTTTAGAATGTACAATGTAGCTGATTCTGATTAAAACTAAACGTGCATAAAAATTTTTACCCAAATCGCTAGGAGATCATTCTCAATTTTTTTACTTTTTGATGTGTGTAAGAGCTGGTACATGTTAGTTACCCTCTACATCAACTTTGATATTTTTATTTAAATTCCTTTATAAAGTGTTTTTTTTAATTTCTCTATAGTGATTGTTTGAAGCTACACATATTCAATGGTGTTATACCTGATGGTAAGACTCATTTGCTGGTGTGGGCTCCGTACATACAGACACAGCAGGACAATGGAGATGATGATAATGTCATGATTGCAGTTTCACATGATTCCAGAGTAATTGATTGCATATCTAATTGATTGTACATGTACCTTAGCTTACGTGTACATGTACAATGTACATGTAGCTGCTAATTTGTTATGCCATAAATTGAACCAGCCAGTTTCACTATAGGTACTGTTACATGCACCAAACATTCATGTACATGCTGAATTTTTCCCACAGGGATATATTTTACCAAATTTCCCTATCCCAAAATTATCAGCTATGCAGTACATGTACAGTACATGTATTTCTACTGTGTATTCTGAATTTTAAATGGTTAGGTGGTTTTGACGTTTTTGTAATTAATAATTAGTATTTGGAAAGTTACAGATAATTTTTTGAGAAAAGTTAAATTGTCTTATTTTCATTGGGTGAAGCCCACTAAGATGAGTAGAGTTTGTTTGTATGTATGTACATGTACTTATTCCTTATCTTCTCTGTATATCTGCACATGCTATAGCAATGCAATAGATTCTAAATTTCAATATTTTGTTAAAAAAGTGAGTGGCTGAAAGAAAATAAAATGGCGATCAACAATTAGAATTAGAAGTCATGAGTTTCCTACTTCCTAGCAACAAGATAAGGCAAAAACACCGTTGAAAGACTTCTTTAACTGCTTCAGAAGGTTACAGGTGCAATTAAGTAACTATGAAACTCGTTTTTCTTGAGATAAACTGTGAAAGTCAAACAAATGTCACCTTTGTCACTGACTGCACTAAACTGACCAGCCTTTTAATATCTCATGGCTATTTCAAAGTCAATGTATAGTCGGTTTCAGTTGAGAAGAAACCACCACCACTCCTTATAACTTTCTTGTCACTAATGCTAGCAAATTGAAATTTGGTATAGCTACATGTAGACGTACATTGCAGGCTCTTCCGAAAATTGCAACCAATTTTTGAGTGTCTAGGTACTCTGGAAGGTTCTAAACAAGTTTTTGACGAATAGGGTGTGTCACTCCAATGAATATCATTTACATCACATTATATTTAGTCAAAAATAATATTTTTTTATTAAAAAAATAAAACAAAGTATATCAAGCTCTCTAGACCTGCTAATATTCAACTAGGAGCCTTTTCTTGAGAAAAATGTGCTATATCACTCCATAGTCTTCTCAATCTTTGTTGTTCTTCATTGCCCATGCACTCGTTGAGTCATCCGTATTCACCTAAACCAAGAAAAGGATATATGGAGGTAGCAGCAACCACAGTAGAGGTACAAT